GCTGCGCACCCATGCCGAGAGAGATACCAAGTCGAGAATGTATATATATACAGAACACACAGACTTGCTACGAAAAAGGAGGGACACGAAGAGGCATTGCTCTGGGTGCTGCTGTTGTGTAGCCTTTGGGACATACATATATACATATATACACATACACATGTGTTTATATATGTACTCTGCGTATGTATGTGTTTATGGGTGTGCGTGCACACGTATACGGAAAAACGACAAAGCCAAGCATGGAAGCCCCTCGTGGGACGCAGCGGGGGAGTCCCCCGAGAGAGAAGGATGCGGCTAGAAGTGGAGGGACCGGTTCAAAGGAATCGGCGACGAGGGGAGAAGTGGAGGTGGTGGTTATATTATGGACCCGTGGGTGTCTGTGTGTGAGCGTGTAAGAGAGAGATGGAAAGAACGGTGGGGTGCGTGCCGGCGATACTGGACCGAGATAGAGAGATGGAATTAGAAGGGGAGAGGAGGAGCGGAGCGAGAGAGAGAAAATGAAACAGGCGCCCCCCTCCCCCTTAGACTGACTCTCTCCGCGCGTGTGTGTGTGTGTGGGGGTACAAAAGAGAGCAAGCGAGAGAGAGAGATGGGACGGATGGGAAACGGCGAGGTTTAATTAATGGCATTTCGAAAAATGTTGGTTCGGGGCTGTACGCTGCTCAGTTAGAGCTGCTCCTTTGGCCCGGCCGTCGTCTTTCTTGATGCTACAACGTAGTACTTCCCATCTTCCTTTTATTTTTTATTTTATTTTTTTACATCACTGAAACTTATATTTAGCGATTTTTGGTGTAACCTCATGGGTGGTATAATTATCATTGGGGTTGCTGATCTGATGGTTTTTTTTCCCTGTACAGATTTTAATTGGAAACTGGATCCGGTTTCAGTCTATTCTGCTACCGATTTTGTTATCGAATCATTATTCCTGGATTCAGAGGCAGAGGGCACGATCATAAGAGCTAAATTGGGTGGCTCAAAATGGAATTAGAACTAGTTGGTCAATTAAAACATTATTATATTGATGGTCAAAGCGAATAATTTCTTTTAATAATTATCAATGACTTGGAAAAAATGTACATCGAAGAACCTTTCCATAAATTGTTTGTAATAATACGTTTCTTACTTGAATTGTTTTTATTAATTTTTACCTTCTGCTATTTTGAACACTGTTTCCGAAATAGTGAAGCAATTTCCTTTTTTAGCCACTGAGCAGTGCTACGCGTTTTATCGAAAATCGTTCTTTAACTGCTTTTACGTTGAAAAAAGGGTTACACTAATTTTTTTTTTTTTTTTTTTAAATTATGGTAGAATACAGCTACAACAGAAATTTTTATCGTAAACTTAGATGTCATGAATGCTGAGTAATTCAAACAATGCTATCAATTGCTGAAAAATTTTGGTGAAATGTACATTGCTTGTAATGTCATAAATTACTAGAATATAATTCAATTGATACAAAATGTATCAAAGCCTGTTTAGCTTTCGTTTAATATGACGTTTACATATTTGTTACGTAAGAATTCAAAAAATTTTTAAGTATTTTATCTACCTCGTAAGGTAAAATATCTACTTGAGACGTCATTTAATAGTATTTAATATCACAAACAAAATTGGGTTAGCCAAACCGAAACTTAATTGAAAAATTAACATATTTTTTGGTTTGTTTGATTAAATAAAATTTTTTTTACCGCAACTAAAATTTCCGAGCTATCAATGCAAAAAATAATAATTTAGTTGTTATCAAATAAATGTTTGTTTGAAAATTTCACTCAACATTATTATTTTTAACTTTTTTTTGTTTACATAAATAATTTTCTTATTTCTGATGCTTGATTACGCTGTATCTATGGGCCAGGTGCAAATTGACGTCAGCGCCGTTCTGCGGATAAATATTAAGTCATTGCGATGAAAGAATATCACAGCTTAGCTTCTACTGGACACGAGAAACAATTTTTTATCTGGTAAGAAAGACTCTCATATTGAGTTAGTAATTTGTTGGAGAAAATACTTTAATGCTATATTAACATAACATATAAAATAAAATTTATTGTAAATTTATTAAAAGAAAAAAAAATTATTTCTATAAAAGGATTACAAAACTACGATAAAAAAATCTTGCTGACTAAATTATTAAGTACCATTACTATGATTCTTTTTTTAAGATTATAATTTTAATTTATACCGATAAAATACTCAACCAACTACAACATTACATTAAATCGTACTATCGAAGCAACGGGAAAATTGGTGTGATGCATGAGTAGCGCAGAGTTATAAAAATTTATGTAAATGCTAGTAATTTTTGCCGTATTTTCTGATCAATATGTACATAGTTACCGTAAAACTTATTATTATATAAACTAACAATTTTCATAGTTCTAAACAAAAATCATTTTTCAATAAAAAAAAAAAATTGTTTTCAAAGAGGTAGATAAAAAAGGCTAGTGGAGAATGTTGTTTAAATGTATTATGGGTAGCATTAGCTTGTGTTCCTTTATTGACACTTAACCTATTTCTTTGTGTAATGTATTCAAGTTAAAATCACCATAGATATACCATCAATATTAATGTAAGGATTATACAGTAATAAACTATCGTTGTTTTCAATGTAAATATAAATTTTAAATAATTATTCCCCATTACAGTTTTAAGGATCTCAATTATAATTTCCTAGAGTACATTTTAAATGCCTACATTTTGTAGTTTATAAATAGTTTATTCAATTACAATGACCTATTTATACAAACAACAAAAACAAGTGTAATTGTACAATATACAGCATATTTACTCTACCCAATTAATTTTGCAATTATGCTAATCAAAATCTGTATTAACTTTTTATTCCAATACAGGAACTAGGGTGTTCTAATACGATATTACACGTGCTTACTAATATCAAAGATAGATCATTCAATAGTTAATTGGTTTATTACCATAAACAGTTGAAAACTAATTTTTTTAAATAAATAAACAGTGAAATTTACGAAAATACGGTACAAAGCGCGAAGTTTTAAAGAATAACATAGTTAGTAAACGAGAGCAAAAATACACGTTATCCTGTACATGTAAGTACATAAAAAAGATAGGAACACGGTGATAACAAATACCTATGTATAAAAAAGAGTACACATTGCATTTCATAATACGCGATGTGTATAAGTGCGCATATACGGTGTACAAAACTCGAGAAAGAGATAGAGGATATGTTGTGTGTAACGTCGCAAGAGACACACGCGCGGTGAGGACGCGAGGAAGAAAACACACGGCGCGCACACGAGATGAGAAAGCAAACGAACGAACTTACGGATCAGATGGGAGGCGGTGGGAGAGAGAGAGAGAGAGAAGGCGCACGAGAGATGGACGATCCTTTTTTTTTTTTTTTTTTATTCCACCGCCACATGGATACACAGCCTATGGGTATATAGGGGAAGTGTACATGTACGTAATGAAAGGAGAGTGGAGCGAAGCATACAAAAAAAGGGGGATAAAGGCGGCACACACGTTGGTAGAGGGGAGATACGAGGACTATATACATGCACACACATACACAGCAAGTGTATACACGGTGGAAGTACCAAAGGTGGCAGGGGGAGGGGAGCGAGTGAAAGAAGAGAAGACAGCGGAGGCGAATGAAAAATATAGGGGGGAGGTCCCGGATAATGTATACGTCTACGAATATAGATATATGTGTGTTAAGAACGTGCCCGTTTTTTTTCTCTTTCTCTCTTCCTTTTTTTTTTTTTTTTTACTCGGAGCGAAACATGGATACTCTTCAACGTATCCACGCCATAGCTGTTCGCTCACGCAGAGACTCTCGCGTGTACACAGACACACCACACGTACACGGAATACTGATGTAGTGGCGTGCCCTCACGTACATATATATATAAACACATGCCACCGCCTGCACGGCAATCATCCCGTCCCCACATACAGTAATAATAACAATAATGATAATAGTAATAACAATAATAACGCTAAGAGCTCACGGACAAGCGAGGAGAGTGCGAGAGAGACGGGGAGCAGAGAGCGAAATGGGGCTGTGCACACGCGGCTTGCTTTCGCCATCGCGTTTTACATGCATTTGCACACATAGCTGCGTATTACAGCTGTGTGTTTATACATGTGCGCGTGTATGCGAGCAGATTATGATCGCACCAGGAGGGCTTTCTCCTCCACGCTTTCAATTCTGCGAGTTACATATATATATTCACTCGTATAGTACTCGCTCTTGTGTGTGTGTGTGCGTACACGTATACATCAGAATGATTTGACAGCAGACGTTTTTTGAGGTTAAGGAACGCTCTCTGCGCGCAGCGTTGTTCTTTTCAATCACTCTTCGAGGTCAGCTGTTTAGCCGACGGTTTATTAGCGTTAGGGGGCTGTCGTCCTAAAATGAGTCCTTTCCCCGAATCGACTTTTCCTACGGTATGCGGGCGTTATTGTTACAACTCGTTTCTTTTTCACTCTGTTTGGCTAATCTCTTGCCGTACAGTTAGTTATTGTTGGGCTTGTATAGAAAAGAAATTTCCATTTTCACCACATTCATCCCGATTTATCTTTTCGTTCGTTTAAGATGATTTTCGACGCTCAACATAACCTCACACTATTCTACCAAACGTTCTGAAAATAAGAGAAACTGTTTGGATATGTATTAATTGTGTGCCGAATAATGGATGTGAAAAAAATAAAAAACAAACAGCAACTCGGAACAAATGGACAAAGTATACGATTAATATAAAATATAAATGTACGAGTGCCGTGTGCATTAGTGCTGCACAAGTATGCGAAAGCTACGAAAAATACATAGGTAGTGGGAGAAATAGAAAGAGACGGGTAATACCTAATTAGTTGGTTGGTCTCTATATGCAACTATAGCGGCATAAGTATAGCAAGAGAAAGAAAGAGGAAATTATAATAGCTAGGGCGAAGAAAAGAGAAAGATAGGAAAGGAAGTCAGACCGCGGCGATGTGTAGGTACAATATTATACACTTACAGAGCGCCTGCGCAGTCACACCTTGGCACGTTTTGAAGAAAAGCAGCATCAGTCGGACTCGCACCAACACAATAACGCTCCATCATGAATTTGATGCGCCGACGACTATACATGTATCTATCGCATTCGTGTGAGTGTGGGTATATCTACAGTTATATACTTGCTCACAGCTCTGCTCGAGCTCGAGATAATGTTTTTTCTTGAACAAAAACAATTTTTTTTTATCTCACTAAGCACAACCTTATCGATTCCGCGTATTTCGAATCGAGCACAGTCGTAAGGTCTTACGAACGGTTAGTCACCATACACCATTACTTGCTCTCTTTTTCTCTCTTGTGCGGAGAATACGAGACACACACAGCACAAACACAAGTACACTCTACTGTAAACACCACGATTTTAATTATGGTATCCTTGTTTGGACATTCGCAAAAACAATCAAATAAAAAAAAAAAACTACTTTTTTCGTTAAATAATAGAAGAAAATTCCCGGCCAATTGTTACAAGCAAACGTATATAGGAGGTCCACCTATATCTGTTGCATAGGGGAGCCTTGGAGGTTGGCGGCGAGAGATCAGGTATTGTCCGTCGGCCAAAGTGCGCACGTATACACTGAATTGTACCGAGGGAGAGCGCATGTATACAGCCGCCGAGGAAGAAACAGCAGGAGAGAGCGCAATGTCCTCGTCTTGTTGGTTGGAGGTGCGCAGCGATTGGCCGGAGCAGTACGACGAGGGGGAGGGCGATAGCCGAGTCATTGGCAAGGCTCCGATTGGCCGCCAGCCTTAACGAATCGCCGAAGGCACGCTCGCCCCCCGTTTTCGGGCGGGGTCTCCCTCGATTTCGTCTGCGCCGAAGCGGCCCCTCCCTGATCCCGCGCAAGCGCGCAAACATGGCGCCCGGAGGAGTGGGGCGACCGAAGTTTAGGGGGCGCATGCGCCCATAACGGGATCGTCGGACTGGAGCTCAGCCAACGCCAGAGAAGCTTGACTCTTGGGTGGTGGGGGCTAATGAATGGCGGCGATAGCAGTCGAGCGTATAATACATGGTACGTGCGTGTGGTGTTCGGGGGCATTTGTATTGGTGGCCGGTAGGGAGAGGAGAATGCAGAATGTTGTTCGGCCGGACTGGCCGGAGAGTGGAGGTGGAGGGGAAGTGGATTGGGGTGTAAGCTGCTGTTGCTGCTGACTGTGCTATGTGCAGGGAGCGTAGGAGATATATGGAACAGGGGCGTATATGGCTACTAGGCAAAAGGGAATTTAGGTGGAGGCTTTCCCCCGATTTATTGAGTTCCTAGTCGTTGTAGGCAAGGATAATTCTTGATTTTGTTCTTTTTGTGGTTTTTCTTTTTTTTTTCTTCTCTTTGTTCGAATCAAAAACTTCTTTGAAAGCTTAAATTTTTACGATTTCTTTGTTTGTACAGAAAATATTCCGTACTTTTAATTTTTTCCTGTTTTTTACTACCCACGCTTTTTTTTGGTATTATAGTTTATATAGGCTATTTAGACATATTGGACGAGCAAATGATCAGAATTATAGATAATCTAGCTGATGATAATTTCTTTTGAATGTATGATAGAACATAATATGAATCCTCTATAACAGTACATTTGGTTTTACTATGATTTTAAGATGGGATGCGTTTATATCCTAATAAATGAAATTTTATTTTGAAATATAAAATCTCCAAATGAAAAAAAAAAAGATTTGCAAGCTTTTTTCCACGATATCGCTGAGATAGCCCTAATGCTTCGTGTCTCTGTTTCTCTTCAAAGTAATGAAATTCGATGAAATTCGCTCAAATTCTGATTTAATCTTGAATTTTAGTAGTATAATTCCATATTAATCTTGAAACTTCTATATTTACACGTAAAAAACAGTTTGCACAGGTAAGTAAAATCGCTTGTATTTAGGTTAGGAGAACCAACATGGCCAATCTAAGGGTTCTAGTTAAAAGAGCGAGGGTGACATATGCAGTTCCAAACTTGTTGTACTGGTAAGAACAAAACTTTACGTGCTACATATTAAAATTGGGTAAATATACTATACGTGATAATATTAAAACGGAATGTACATGTGCGAAAAAAATAAATTTTATGAGATTTATCCTCTCATTTAAAAAGTCCCATTTTGTGTACGAGTCTAGATACCAAAACCGCCCAACCTTCCAAAATGTCGAAATTTCTTTAAAGTTATCTTATAAATGTGAATAGATGGTATAAGAAGAAAGAATTTCAAGACTCCCCGTATTCTCTGTCTTTTGTAACAACAAACGTCAACTTAGGTGTTATTCTAAATAAATTGAAATACACTTACTAATCACTGGTGCTTGTTGAAATTAAACGAACAAGTATCTTTATGTAGTAGCTGGTGTAACGCCGATAGAGGTAACAAGTTACCGGTAATTGCAACGAAGCAAACGCCTGAGTTGGCCCGTAGCGATAATGAATTATGAAGTTGAAGTTAGTAACAAGGTGAGATGGGTACAGTTTATGCGCAACGCGAACAGTACTGTGTGCGCCGGTACTCCTTCCGCATTTATATAGTGTTGTCCAGCATACGTGTACAATACGGTATTGGGCGGTAACGTCTTAAGTATCTATGTAAAATTATCACAGCCACTATCATTTGACTGTGGAAATTTCCAGCAAGCGTTACTACCACAAACGAAACGAAGTATAATGAACACCGAAGTTGGTGTTACTTCACGACTAATAGAACTTCACGTCTATTAGTTTTAAATAGTATCGATATCTTAAGTAAACGTTTTACAGTAATAGGTACATTATGAACTCACGCTACAGCTTAATTCGACAGTAATAGCAGTTCAAAGGAAATTGAAGTATAAATTTTTTGAGCCAACAAATTTTTTTTGAGCGCACGGGTACATCTAAAAATTATCTTTGCTAACAGTGAAAATTTCTACGATGTAGAGTAAAAAGCTGGCAGTTTTTAAAAAAGAAGCAAATATTTTTCGAGAAAACATTATCGCGTGCAAAATGGATGTAATCTGTATCCATGTCTGCAAGTGCTACCATCGTGTCACTTCAAAAATCAGACGAGTGTCAATGTTTCGTCTTTCGCGGACATTTCAACTTTATTTGTTGCATATTATTTTTGGTATAAATTATAAGTATAAGGAATAAACTAAATGCATGGAAGAAGTATAGATATTATGGTTATCATATTTCAAGTGAAAAAGGAAAAGTATTTCTGATAATTATATTCCTTTTTAGGATTTACGACGAAGTAACTACAATTAGATTACTCGACATAAATATTAGCTGAACTGATTTTAATAATGATTTCAGGTTTATTTTCATAAAAACAAGCATATTACTCGTGCACAAAAACTAGAGACACAATATTCAAAAAGCCTATACTTTTAAACAAACTTTGTCCGAATTTTGAGGCACTTTGGCTTATGCTCAAAACGTTTTAATAGTTAATACATCTTGTGTCGGTTTAACAAAATACATCACGTTTTTTGAAAATTTGTGTAACAATGTATGTTGTACTTAGTAACCCAAGGCTTCGGCTCCGAGGCCATTATACCTACCTTTCTTACCTAGGACGCAAAGATCGCGCAAAGTATCACTCTCGGGACATACTTTGCATCCTAAGGTCGCAGAGAAAAGTACTTTGGGCCTGCAAGGCCAAAAAAACTTTGACTTTCCAGCAACAAGAACGGTAACCCAAGTAGATCTGCGTTCATACATTTTTTGTGTCTAATAAAATCAGTCAATATCCATGTTGTAATAAATTTATGAAGCTGATTTACAAATTACAATAATTCTACCTTGTGTGCCACGACATACATTTTTTTTTACTGCTCGATTGTAAATTTAAAAGAAGCGTAAATATCTGTTGTTTCGATAGCGTTGTCAGCATAGCTATACGCGGCTCTTCAAAAGATAGTCTATGCTATGATGTGTTAGTGAGATTTAATCTTATCAATTGTATTGAAATTATATAGAATATATTTTACAAGAAAACTATTTTTCCTACACGATGCAGAACACGAATTTTTACTCACCCAATATAAATCCTGTTATTTTTTCTGCTAAAAAGAAGCAATAAAAACTCACATTCACTGATTTCTGAAAAAACCTTTCCTTTGTCGTGATATGAGCCGAAACAAATGTCTGTTTCATAGCATCGCTGTCCGTGAAATTTTTCTGATACTCAATGCTGATGTTCGATGTATAATTAAAAAATGTAGATAACGAAAAAAACAATTTCCGAAAACAATATACTTTGTTGACTGAAGACTTGTGGAATTTAAGGGGGCCCTTGCGCATCTCTGTAGCCATCCAGGGCTCTTATCGACAAGTAAAGTTCAAATCGCCAATAATCAAAAAATACTCAATGACTTAGGACTAAAAAATGTACAGAGGTTCATCATACTCTATAGTATCTGAAGGTTTTTGTCTCAGATCAATAAGTTGTATGGTGTTCTCGGAAAAAAACTAACCTGAAAATGAAAATATTAATGGACTAAAGACCGTTATGAACATTTGAAAATCCAAAACTGTTTAATACTGCACTATGCAGTAACTTTCCAAGAATACATGTAAAAAAATTTGAGAAGCAATTTAATGATAAAGCGCTGCACTGCAATATTTGTTTTTAGCTGACTTTTTTTCATAAAATCGTGGATAGTTTAAAGTGGGCTCTGAAGTGCTAGTCTGTTCATAATTGCACAAGCTTTAATGTCGTGTATCGTTTGTTGTTTATTTTTAACAAGAATTATGAAAAAATAGTGCTTTGGCCAAAACGTATCTCATTCTACGTCAATGATTAACTTAGGTGGAGAAAACTTTTACTGTACAGTCGATGATTTACCATATTCCATACTAAGGTAACCGATAACGAGGTAAAGCAATTGGTAGTGCACTGGAGAGGAAGTAACAAACTTTCCCTTAAAAAAATTAGTGTTTTTATAATGTGTTTCACTAAACAATGACTCTGCATGTATATAATATTCATCCTGTCTATTGGCAAACAATAAAGTTGAAGCAACCATCGGATAGTCACGTGTGTATTAGGTTATGTTTCCGTAAACAGCTACGTCTGGAACTTTCGTTAGCCATCGTTGAGCTTGATGGTCATGAGCATTCAAAAAAATGTATTGAATGGTATAGTTTAGACACTTTCATCGATCGTTTTCTCTTAGTTTGATCATTTTACACTGAATCACAGTAAGACGCAGCTTTGTCTTTTAAAAATTATTGTATTTCCCTGCTGCTTGTTTTCAACTAATTTACATTATCATGCTTGTTTATCTTACCTGCGTGCACAATACGATTTTTACCTGATGCTTGTCGTATTTCACAAGACGAATACTTCAACATGCAGTGAGTGTCCGATCAATCTAAAAAATATTGTACCTTCACGGCTCACCAATTGTATTTTTATTTAAAAATCACTGTTGATTCTGCTAGATCTTAAAACTTTTAATAATCGTTTTCATATATCTATTGAAATGGCTGGCCCTATTGTCGAAGTTCTTAATGATAGTATTACGTGATAAGGATGTGAGCAAATGTAAGCAAATAATGTTTTTTTATAAAGTTGATCTTTTAATTTATTTATCATTAAATAAGACGTGTTTATGTGTGTTATTATACCAATTTCTTTATGTAATTGTAACTTATATATCACTGATAACAGGGAAAGGTCTCGATACTAGGGCCA